CCATGCGACCTGCACCGATTGCAGAGTTGATCTCTCCGTGTGTTTGCTCAAAGTAGGACTTTTGGCTTCGGTGACCGTCTAGGATCTGTAGGGTCCGACATGCTTGATTCCTGGGACCGGCCTCTGTATAGACTGTAGTGTAAGTCTAGGAAACTTCGGTCAGTCCGAATTACTCAGGGCTGAACTATGTCCACTGGGTTGCTGTGACTTGGTGTATTTGCTCCTGTTATCATAATTGTGGCCTCGGCTTCGTTCCCTTGCGGGCAATAGTGGCAAAGATGGTCAAGACTACGAGAGGCAGTGGACCACTCACAAACAAGGACCCTCGGCTTTAATCCAACTCATGTTCCCAAACATCAGACGAACTTGAGGTATGTTAGGCCCCAGTCCACATGCTCTGGGTCCGCAGCAGCAGCAGCAGCACCAGCACCAGCAGCAGCAGCAGCAGCAGCAGCACTAATCCATTTTTCAACAACAGACTCCAAATTCCGTTCACTTAATAATATATAACTATTTATAATGAACCCTAATAAGAAACCCCAGAGTAAACCCTAAACCCCGTGTATTAGATACTGATTCCTGCGAGAATGATTGCAGGAGCATCTCATCAAAGTCGCTGCTACCGCCGCCGCCGGAAGACGATGATAAGGACCCCGCGATGACGTTCCTGATGTCTACAGCAAAGAGAAGCTTGCAGCAGGCTTTCGAAGGCCAGAATCCATTAGGTGTTCAGATTTCGGGGATTGGTTTATCCTTCTGTTTCTGCTCGTGCTGCATGGACTGACAATCATTCAGCTACTGCTCGATTTACTGCAACAGGTACAGACGAGGGCAAGGAAAAGGCGAAGTCATCGAAGAAAGAAGAGAAAAAGCCGAAGAAGGATAAGAAGGATAAGAAGGATAAGAAAGCCGAGAAAAAGAAGAAAAAGAAAGGCCTGGTTCGGAACACCCAACGTTCTCCAAAGCCCGCTTGCTAGTGTGTTGTGCCACAGGTTCGTCCTCGTCTGGGTCAGAGGACAAGGACGAGGAGAGCGACTCGTGCGAGTCGCAATCCTCCCAAGGGTTTTTCGCGGAGACCCAGGCGATGTTTTGCCTTCGCCAGAAGGATCTGCTGAGGCAGAATGGGCAGGACAAGCTTGATGATCTGTCGACACGCCAGATCGCCTTTGTTCTCGCCGGCTCCGGGGCAGGGTCGATGCTCTCGGCCGCAGATCTGCAGGAGCTCGGTGGCGAGTTAGAGCCTAGACTGCAAAAGTCCCTCTCTCGCTAGCCCCGGCTACAAATCACGATCTGTGTTCGAGCTTGGGATTGCCACATTGGAGCCATTGGAATCTCTGATTGTTGGGCTTGGTCGTTCCTTTGTGGGATGTTTCTACGATTGTGCGCCGTGTACCAAGACCCCCAGCAACTTGATCTTCAGAGTCACATCACTTACATAGCTCGCTGCCGTCATTCGGTTGCCTATGGGAGAGAGATCCAAGGAAGCACTGCACAGCGACAGGGCTCAGCACGCGAAGAAGACAAAGCAAAAGATGGAAGAAAACCAGGCCACGGCCCAGGCAGGATTGAGCGGAGAGATCTCAAAGCGAATGTCATTTGTGAACTTAGACAACATCAAAGATTAACGCCAAGCTTCTGCTTCGGAGTTGCCACATCGTTCGCCCTGGGCACATCTCGCAGGCTGCCTTGGCCAGCACTTTGTGGAGAAAGCGGCTTTCGGCTTTGCTGCAGCTGTGTGCTTCGGCTCTCTATGTTGTCGGAGTTTCAAGGGCGGGGTTCTCGTTTCCAGTCCAGGGCTTGGGATTGGGTGGTTTCTGGTTCGCGATTTTCATTGATGTGTTGTGCTTCGGGCTCCTCGTCTTATGGCTACAAAGCAAATGTTGGCAGCGGTTTCCGATAATCATTGTGGGGTCAATACTTATGGATCTAGAATTACAACACAAGACACAGACAAAGGCCCCAGACCTGCTCCCAGGCAAGAAGCCATTTACCTAAAACCCGAGGCCCATCCCTAAGCCCTAAATACTAAGCTAGGCGATTCTCAGCATTTTCAGGGGGTTGCTTGATGTTCTAGGTTCCTGAGTAGTACCCTTTTGCCCTTTCGGTTATAGGGTTCCCTTAATAAATTTAAACCCAATAGATAAAAAAATGATACCCCTATCATAGTAATATAATAAGGATCTACTGAGGAGTCTAGTCTAGTGTTTGAGAATGGGAGGGACCTTCTGGGAGCAGAGGGTGTCGTCTACCTTCGCAAGCTCATTTGGCATCAACTTTTGTCAGGTGTCCATTCTGCACAAACACAAGTACCAAAGTTCCGACCTAGGCTTTAATTGTTGTAGCCAGAATAATCATTTCGTAAGTCCCTGCTCAGCTTTAGTGGCCATGCAAGAGTGGAAGCAAGCCGCAAAATTGATGTGATCTTCAACCAAGCTACTTAACTTATGAAGCCCTGGTCCCCCGCACCTCCAAAACCTTAAACCTTAATCTCTAGACTCTTCGAACCCCTCAAACTTTGGACCCAGAGTCGAGATCTGCGAAGTTCCAGGCCACCGTACCTTAGTTTGGCTTGGGTTTTAGCTAGGGGGTTTGTGTCGTAGAACTGGTACCGTTTCCACGAGGCAGCTGTGTGTTGGCATGTTCTGCTGGGTATACGGTATGTGATAAAACATAATAGGCGGTGCAAGGGCTGAGTGTTGGGGGTGCTAGATAATGACAACGGATTGTAGGATGTTTTAGGTCTAGGCTGGAGTGTCGGACTCCTAGATTCGGCAACCAGAAAATTAAGCAATTGTAGTCTAGTCTAGAGAAACCAACCAAACAAATACTCCTTACTCAACAGTAGCCCCTTAGCCAGTTCCTGGCCCAGGGTTTTTGGGGGTCCTGTGACTCGAAAAGAATAGGGGCTTACGGCTTCGGGGTTTCGGGCTTCGTTATTATTCGATCCGATTGTAGGCCCTGAACAGAACGCTTTTCTACTGGGTACTAGCAAAAGATATTCTTAATTATAGGTCCTCTAATTTATTGTAGTGAACTCCGGAGGCACCGGCCGCACGCTCGGCACGGTGACCATCGTGCAGTGTGCGAACCTGCTGGACACTGCCAAGATGCTTCGGGCGCTGATTCGCCGGCAATGCAGGTAGGTGTAAGTGTGATTACCACAAACCCTGAACTCTTCCAATAAATCAACCCGACAGGCCCGATCGCTCATAGTTCACCATAAACTGAAAAGGAAAGGCAAGCAGCATTAACCCCATACTACTACATGCCCTGTATCCCCCAAACACAATCCCAGCTCTGCTCTATGTGCAGGAAGAAACTATGGATGAAGAAGGACCTGGAAGCCGCCTTGGAAGCTGAGATGGAAAAGCTTCGGAAGGCGGCTGTTGTGTCTGCTCCTGCTATTACAACTATTGCCCAGAACCCTCCACACACTGCCCCAGGATGCGACCAAAGATTTGCAGAACAGCCTCAGTGCGGCCAAGAAGCAAGCCAAGCCCAGTAAGGACATCGTGCCAGTTCAGATACAGAGCTTGTTCCTTAGCTGCTGAGTCTAGGGTATCATACAGTCTTCGTTTTCCAAACTTGCAGGAGCCGACCGGCCCAAAGCCGAGCAAAGGCACCAAAGTGAAGGAGGAAGAGGAGGAGAAAAGCAGTGATCATGATGGCTGTGATGATGATGATGATGAGGAAAGTGAAGGAGGTCCGAGGTCTATGAGCCCACCCGGGGATGATGATGACGAGGAGCCACAGGATGATAAGGAGGAGAAGGACGGCGGCTCCTCGGACAGTGATCTGTTTCGTGGCGACTTTGCCCGCAAGGCAAAGGCTAAAAGCAAGGCTTCTGGAGGTCCATTTTCCGGGCGGTTCGGGGAGCTGAGCCAACAGATTCAAAAGCAAGCCCGGGAGATCGAGGGGTCTGTCCTGAGTTCTTTGCCAGAAGACATCCCCCAGCTGCTCAACTGATATAATATATGGATGTTTCAACCCGGTTCCTGCTTAGACTTGCAATACTACCTGGCTTGTTTGTGCAACTTAGGGCAGACTACAGCCTGCTGGTGCAGATCTTGCTGAAAGAGGAGGTATTCACTATGCAATCCCTACTTGATTGCCTGGACCTGGATGGAGGCCAGTACCTAAAAGGCCCCATTGCTATACTCCTACTCCACATAAACAGTTTCCTTGTTCTGACAGGAGGCTTCCTCGGGAACCTGGGGGAGTCGAAATCCTTGTACTCTCGGCTGAGTGCCTTGGCCAAGAAGGCTGCCAAGATGTGGCAAAGCAAGCTTCTTCAAACCCAGGCCAGGGCCCCTCTCAGGGTTGGGAAGGGGCTTCAGGAACTCGGTTTCGCTTCGGTCGGTTGTTGTAAACCCGCTCTCTTTATGTTTGTTTTGCCAGGAGACCCCAGCTCGCGGCACGAAAAGCAGCCCCGGCGGCATCGACACCTGAGCTGGGTGTTCATCGTGAAGCTTCCTCTCTGTGGACCGGGAGGTGTTTTGACTTTAGATTGAAGCCCGGAGTTTTGTTTCGGGGCACCTGACAAAGCCGAAGCTCGGGGGTTCAGACGAGCACTTTGAAAACGAATGCTTTGCCACGGCCCTGCTTCTCTTGCTGCAGTCGAGAGAATGTTGGAATCGGTCGTTGCTTGCAGCCAGATCTCAACATCGCGAACCGCTGAATTCTCGAAGCTTTTTCAGGGGCTTGATGTTTCGATGATCCATTATAAAACAATAGGATAGTGTCTCTGCGGTGTTGGGCTGAGTATGCTAGACGAGAAACTCATTTGGTTGGATGAACAACAGGACAGCACCTCTTCATTGGTTGAACGATATGTAGGCAATAGTTCCTTAGGTCAATAACAGTTAATAACTAGGCCTGGGCTTCTGACTTGGATAATAGTAAGGCAAAACACTCCAAAACGTCTTCGCTTGTTGAAACTCTACTTCTTATACATCAATGGACCCCTGATCCTACGTTTGGAGTAGTTGGGTGGCAGCGAGCTACCAACCGCATCCAACCGGAGACTTGGTTGCAGTGGTTCACTGCCTTCTATTTTTGCAGGCCAGGTTTAGACTTAGAGTCTTTGGCTGTGTGGGAAAGCCTTTGTGAGTGGTTGGGTTTTCGGGGTCGAGGCTGTTCCTGTTGCTGAAATTCAAGATTAGGGTTTGGTTTTCGGGGCCAGGGCTGCTCCTCTTGCTTACAGGCTTACAGGACTACTGGACCGGGTGCCTGGGTTTACGTTTCCTACGGCGAGCTGCTGGGCCCAAGTTGCAGTTCTTCATATTTAGTAGCAATTGAGGGTTCTTGGGTTTTTTTGGGATGGTGAACGTGCCGCCTGGATGCTGTAACGTGCCACCTCATCACACCAGGCCCGCCTGCGTGCCACCTCGTGTTCTAACGTGCCGCCCCAACTGCAACGTGCCGCATCAGCAGATTTCCGCCCGCAACGTCGTACTACGTGCCGAAAACAAAACGTCGAGGCGGAAGGCATTTATCTTAGAAGCCCGCAAATCTGCTCAGAACAGAATCCCTCGAAGCATCCCTCAAATACGTGCGTGCTCCCTCGATTACATTAGGTAGCGTGCCGCCTCGAAAATCAGCCCCGACACCACCGAAAGGGAAACCAATCCTACGTGACCCCCCATTCAGGCGGAACTCAGGGTCCACCCATGTCCGCCCCGCACAGCGCCCAGGAATGCCAGCGGTGAGATGGTTCACGGCCAGGCTGCAGGAGCTCAGCGAATGCCTTGGATGCGAGCACATGGTACCCAGCGTGCCGCCTCAGCCCGAACGTGCCGCCTCGCAAACCCAACGTGCTACCTCGATTGCAATCTAGCCATAGTCTGCATCCCACTACCCAAGGAGCACATCCGACGACACTGCAGCAGAAGCCAGGGCTAATATCCATCGCAAGATGCAATTCATCGATCAATGTTTTCGGGATGGCCGGCCATTGGGGGAAATGGCCCTGACACCCGCATCCTGGGAGGTTCTCCATTTGCACTAAAGCTTAAGGCCTTGCTGGTGTCCTTTTCTGTTTCTGTTCGAACACGAACCTGGTCACCAAGGATCTCATTGATTCCTTCCGGGCGAGATGCTTGGACATGAAAGTGCCTTTGCGACCGAGAATATTTCCTGCCGAAGAGCCACCTGCTGCTTCAGAAGCAGCCGAGCCGGCCACCTCTGTTAGTGAAACTAGCCCTGGAACCAGCTACTGCAATCTGCGAACACTTTATCTTGATTGTCGGGCCGCCGTCAAGGGTGTACTGCAGCTACACAAGGCTCTGCTACGATGAAATGGTATGTATGGTGTGTAGTAATTTAATTTAAATCTACCGGAGGGTCTCATTCTGCCAAGCCCCTCTGCAGGTTCTGGACCAGGACCAGAACCTCCAGGGATACACTTTTCTCTGGAGAGTGGAGGAGGCATGGCAAGTTATGAAACGGCAAACAGCCTTTCATAATTGGTTCACGAAAGTGTACCTTGGACTGTGGTGGCAGGGTTTCCTACAATGCAAGTATTTCGTCACTGCTACTCATGTAGCAAATGTGCCTAAGGCAAGACCTCCAGGGTGCCCAATTGGCCGATGCATGGCGAGTGGCATTCTCTGTTCATTTCATTACTAGACAACACTATCGTGGCCACAAAGCAGCTGTGCTGGATGACCTGCCACGAATCAGCTTCGACGGCATGACCACACCCGGTCTGTTGTTTTCTGTGCTTTGGCACCAATAACAGGAGCAGATGTGCACGCACTGCAGTCGCGATGCTTCTTATTTTATGTGCTTGTCCACTTGCAATGCCAAGGTGGCCTGTGGGCTGCAAGTGCGGGGCTGCAAGCCTGAGTTGCAGAAGTCTGCGATTGCAGCAATGGAAGTGATCACAGGAGCTGCCTTGCCGGCCGATTACGTGTTGGATCTTCTCCCCGGCAACGCTGAATGATCCTAGGACTAGATAAGCTTCATGCTTGCACCTTCAATGATTCAAGATTTCTGCAATGACTTCGTAGCTTAGGCTCCCTGACAATCAAAGACCGCCAAGTGGATCTTTCGGGATTGAAGAGTTTCCTCGACTACACCGGGCTCACCCAGAGGCTCGCGACTGTACTTGCCGCAACCAATCATAATCATATAGCTAACTAACTAACGACTAATTACTAGGTTCCTGAATAGCACCCTTTTACCCTTTTGGATTTTAGGGTTCCCTGATTAAAACCGACTAATAAGAAAGGGGCACCCTTGGTTCATAAATAAGGGGCTACTGAGGGGCCTAGGTTAATTAGCTGTCAGGATTACTAAATTGATTAATAGTTACTTCATTCAATTCCGAAGCCCTGAACCCGAAGGTGGGAACGCAACCAGCTGCTGACACCTGCACAGCGAAGCCTCCACACAGGCCTATGTGGAATCCGAAGTTCATGCTCAATTGTTGGACACAGTGTTTGCTGAGACTTTGCAGGAGTCCGAATGTCTACGGTGGCATGGTTCATCTTTCGGGCACCTTTTCAGGAGACCTTTCAGGACAGCCGCTGAATAGGGCGAATAGTAGGGGACTCCGCCTTGAAGCATAAGCCGCTGACTGTGCCAGGACGAGATTCGGTTTAGCCGGCTGCACAAGCGACTGATTCATCGCCTGTCGCAGCTGGTGGAGACCCACCTGAGCAAAGTGCTTCAGGCTACGTTGCCCACACCGCAAAGTGGAGATGTTCTGCACCCGGCTAAAAGGCCACTCGGCAACCACAAGTAGGGTAGACCTAGCAGTTTGTTCGAAGTACACGTGGCAATGCGATTCTCTGTTGATAGCGACCTGACTCAGGGATGGGCGGCGAGCCCGTGGCGAGCCGAAAGTGCAGAACATGCTGGCAATCGACAGGTTCATGACAAGAGGCGGAGGATTCGTCAGCTCCACCGCAGACAGCAGCCTGGAGTCCTTGGATTTGGGTGGAATCCTCCCTCCCAACTACAATCGGACCTTCGTCTGAGTTTTGTTTTGCTGAGCTACTGGGGCCTGTTGCTGTTGGGTTCTAAACCAAACAAATTTTGCACCTGCAAGGACAACGGCGGATTTTGTCTACAGACATATTCGAAAAACTGGCGAGATGCTATCCCAGGCTCCCGCTGGCATTCAGTAAATGTAAACCATGTAGAGGCAGACGCAGTTGTCCGCAGGAGATGGCACAGCAGTCGCTGAAGAGCTTGGCCTTCTTGTGCGACGCATCACCGAAGGGATGTGTTGATGTATTTCGGCTAATCTAAGAATGTGCAACAGTCTCTTGGTGATTCTGAATGCATGTGCTGCTGAACCCGAGGTTTGGCTCCCTGTCGTCGCAGCGAATCAGTTTGCATCCGTGGCAACTTTACAGAAGCTGTCGGCTTTGCTGCCGAGCACTGCTGATGCTTCGGAAAAGATGAAAGCCGCTCAACAAGTGGCCGACTCCACTACAAAACTGTTGGTTGCAAGCCGGGACAAGAAGGAGCATCGACCCAAAATGAAGCTGGGCTAGCAATTGCTTTGTGGTTTACTGTACGCTGCTTATTACATGTACAGGCACAGCCCATTGCTTGATTCAGTGATTGCAGCATACGACAGATTCCCATCAATCCAAAAAGGCCCAGAATCATCAGCGGCCTGCACCAAGACAAGCTCACCGCCAGAGAGCACATCCGAGCGGTTGGCAATGTCCTGAATCACTTGGGAGTGGCATTGGATGACATTTTTCCAAAGAGCCCCCTAAAGCCTCTGGCCCCAACTTCTGAGATCTTGGCGACTTATGAAATGGACGGCAAGACTATGCCTTTCGTTGCATCTCTTCAAGACGCGACTTCAAGATGGGACGTCCCGGACACTGAGTCCGCACATGTTCGATTGATCGTGTGCCCTGACGAGGGCAGCCCGATGTTCAGCAGCTATGTGTTTTTGGCCACCCGGAATGCCGCCATCAATTTGTGCCGCGATGAATTGCTACTAGGCTGCTACTTGTTTCATTCAAGGGAATGCAGCGCCGAATGCCAGAATTACTCCATAGTCATAATCGTTGCCCTGCAACAGCCAAGGCACAAGCTGAGCCAGCATTGCCAGCGAGTCCTGGCATCGTCGCCTATGATGAAGCGATCCTCGGATGAGACTAGTTCGGGTTCTGTCCTGGATTTTTGTGTGTGGCAGCTGCTAGGGACATTGTGGGTTTGAGGAATGAGTACGCTCACTTCGTGGCTTTTCAGATGTCGCAAGAGCCCGTGGAAAACGCACGGCATTGGCTGCAATCTCTGTGCCGCTGGCAAGCGATATCTTGATGTGGTCACTGGGAAGCACTTAGACCCTAGTTAGCCTAGTTGCTCAACACTGCTGATGGCTGTGAATCACAAGCTGCTTCGTGCTGCCGAGGCTGCACCTGATGATGTTCTTCAGCAGCTCTTCGGCCACCATATCCTGATTGAGAAGCTTGGCTGGGAATGTACTATCCTTTCTACCTTTCTCGCTGTCCTGTCCACAAACCAGGAACAACATCGCCCCCGAGTGCGACGAGCAGGTGAATTTCGATCGGGTATCCGAGATTCTTGGGAAGCTCTGCAGGACGCGGTTTTGCCAGATCAAGTCTTCTCGCAATCCAATACCGTGACCTCTAGGGTTAAGTCTGTACATATGTAGACGAACACAACAAATGAATTTGTATGTTTGTATGTATATATATATATGTATATGTGTAGATACAGAGAGCGAGAGGAAGAGACAGAGAGAGATAGAGATACACAGACCATCTAGTGACGACTACTTCTGAAGGATCCATCAAGAGAGCTACGAGCACAAACGATGGTGTAGCTGGGCTTTTGCCTCCCGGAGATGCCAATTCTCCGGAACACTGTTGCTGATGTTCTGGTCTGGAATGGAGGCAATGCGGGTGCAATGTTTGCTGCATGGACGCTTGCATGAACACACAAAGCCCTAGTCTTGCGATCTTGTTGCCAGACTGGCCACAACCCCTTTGCAGTGCTGGACAAAGCGAGCCAAGAGACTCCGGAGAAGTCTTGGGACAAAGTACTTGATTTGTGCATCAAGGCCCGAACCGATCCTTCAAGCACCCTCCAAACCAAGCCTGTTACTCTCAATCCTGCAACAGGCTTTGTGTGATGAGCAAGTCCACACCCTCTGGAAGTTCGGCCGCGAGCTCATGAAGCCCTTCCGCGACATGTGCATCGACCTCGTGCCTTGATTAATAATGAGTTCGTGTGAGCTTGTGAGTGTGGCTTACAAGTATTTGCCAATTGCTGATCTGAACTAAGCAGCAGAAGAGCAAGAAGCTCATGGCTTTGCATGATCATGTGCTAAAGATGAACTCCGACTTCCTGGAACGATCTCTTAGCAACCTGGCTGCCGAAGTGCTGTGCTCCTCTCGGCTCCACCAGCCGCCAGACATCATCGGGATTGCAGACGAGGCAGGGCATCGAGGAGAGCAGCCACTAGTCGGGTTTATTATCCTAGCCTAGGGCACAACCCGAATCCCTGAACCCAATACGAACTAACTAACTAATACCGTTCCTACACCAAAACCGAACCTGGCACGCAAACTGCAGTGTGGAATCGAGGTACAAGCATTGCCGGGTTACGTAGCACGACGATCATGAAACCAACTCGAAGAAGGGCTGAGTAGCTGCAGAACAAAAGCCGGCAGGCAGCACAATCTTGGATGTGCTGGCTTGGGGGATTGAGGGCTTTACTCCAGTCCAATACACAGCTGCTTCGATCCCGAAAACCCACGCCCTAACAGCAGTGTCACACGCAGAGAAACACAGACGGAAACAGGGAGGGAGAGAGAGACCGAGAGACAAGGAGAGAGAATGAAGCAGAACAAACATAGATAGGAGAAAACTACGAAAGCAGCAGACGAGGAGGAGGGAGCGAGAGAGAGAGAGAGAGAGAGAGAGAGAGAGAGAGAGAGAGAGAGAGAGAGAGAGAGAGAGAGAGAGAGAGAGAGAGAGAGAGAGAGAGAGAGAGAGAGAGAGAAAGAGAGAGAGAGAGAGAGAGAGAGAGAGAGAGAGAGAAAAAAAGAGTGATGGTGACCCGAATCTGGGAGGGGTTCTTAAATAGTCACCAGTCGTGTCTGCAACACGTCGGTAGGAGAAGCCAGCCCAGTTGACCGCTGTTTCGATCGCTAGACAATTGACCCCACAAAGCGAACAGCGAGCGACCGAATCGGATGATGCATGCTCAGAAACGACTTCAAGGTATTCAATGATTGTACGCATGTTTGGGGCACACTTGTTTCCAAGGCCCAGGTGCGAAAACACACACGTATTTCAAATCGCCTCCCAGGTTCTATTTCGATGATTCAAGCAAAGAATGAGCAGCAAAAGCAGCAGCAAGTAACTATGGCCCGGTTTCGTTGATTCTGGAACAGGTCCTGAGCATTGGCTTTCGCCGATCGTTTTTGGACGAGGAGGTTCTGAAAGAGCAGGTGTTGGGCTTCCTGAGCTGTTGCCACGAGCTCCTGGAGTATGCACTTTACCTCCGAAGTTTCCCATGTCGGGCAGCCGCCTTCTGCTCAACACAGGCCACCGCGGAAAGCCGGAGCGACCTCCTCAAGGCTGCTGAGAATGAGTACAAGTTGATCAGAGAGATCGAGGCCACAGCCTCTGGCGCCAGTGTGCTCAAGCAGCATGCCTTGCACACCACGTTCCAGGTGTACCGGGAAATTATGGCCACAATGCAGATGCACAATTTCAAGGATTGCCAGGCAATTGCAGACATGGTGCAAGCATGGTTCCCTCGGTGGGGGCAATCGGCCAACTTGGAGCAGATCTTTCGAGAGATGGAGCAAGCTACGAAACGTGTGGGCCATGTGGAAAACTCGATGCCGAACCTCACTTGTGTGGCTGTGAGGGCCATGAGCAGGAGAGTTTGCTGTGGCGACGAGTGTCCGGCGACACCGACTTTGTCTGAGAAGGACTGGGAGGGCCAGGTGGTTCGCAACCTCAAGGACAAGATGTGGCATCCAACTTCAGCTCCCCCGTGCATCTTGGATTAGTTTGAAGTTTCAGAGACGGTTCCATTTGGGAAACACAGCAGCCAAGGCAAGAACGTGCGAATCGATGATATCTTGAAGCCCTTTACGACCATGTCCGCCTACTCTCAAACACACCACAACTTCAACTGTGTTTTGGGATGGAAGGAGGCGAAAAGGCCGGGCTCATTGTGTTACTTTTCTCGCTACTCTTGCAAACAACTGCCGAAGCAAACCTGCCTTTTAGCAAATCGTGTTTAGCAGGACCGGCACGAGCCCCATCGATTCGATGAGCAGTATGTGGGTGGCTGGATGCTTCCAAAAAGGAACACTCTTCCGGCAAGGAGGTGCATACTTTCTTTGCACCGGCAGAAGCCCTGCAATCGTGCACGCGACCAAATGATGAATTAGCACTTTTTCTGTTGATGTTTGGCAATGGATTCATAAGTAGTGCATGAATTAGTAGTCGTTTGTGTAAGGCCTGGGTATAGTATAGTTATAGACAGTCCCTCCATAAACCATCATAGACCCATAAGCCCATGAATATTTTGGTGCACGTGTTACTGTTCCAAATCTATTCAGATTCGAAAACAACTCTGCTGAGGCTGTCCGCCTCAAAGAGATTGTCTGGAGCTTTAAGGGCCCGCTGCCAGCTGAGACTGTGGACGAGAGGAGAATGCCGGCGAGCACGCACAAGGCGACGGAGACCCGGGAGCTTTTTGATGGGGAGGCAGACAGCACGCGGGCGCTGAGCATGGACAGTGGGCCGAGACACAGCTGATGATCTAAACTGTTGTTTTTGGTCGAGGGCTATGGTTGTGAATTCTTGTGCCTTATCGATCATAACTCGACGTTCTGTCTGCCTTCCAAGGAGCATGTTCACGCACCGCCTGTGTGGACTTCATGATGCTGCCCAGTTTACAACATTATGGAAAGCATTCTGAGACCGTAGCTTCAGACCGGTTTTCTTTTGACTTGAAACTATACACATTAGTGAACATTTAGAGGTCGAAATCTTCTGCTACACTTTGCACGTCTGCCCGACTTCGATGGAAAGCAAGTGCGGTGGGATCCTCTTTCGCAGAGGGCCGAAGCCGTATTCGTTGCTCGTGCACCTCTTCGTGTCGGAGAACATCATGAGCATCACATCCGCCGCCCTCTCCGACATCCTCACCGCCTACAGTATCCGTATGCCCAAGAACAGCAGCAAGCATGCAAAGATCACAAAGCTGATGACACTGGACGAAGTCAAGCAGGCGATCGGTGATGCTGGTGTGGCACGAATGGAAGCGAAGCTGCTCGAGATCGACAAGAACCGGCATTCAAAGAAGAAAGCAGCAGAAGCCGAAGGCGATGATGTCACCATGCACGAACCTAGATTCGAGAGTAGCTTTTTTTGGTGATGATCTGATATGCAACTCCTAGGAGCTAAACTCTATGATTTGTGTCTTGTTTCTTTGAGGACGAGACCGCGGCCGAGAAAGCCAATGATGAAGATCCGGCCGTGGCGGCCTGCTGCCAGCTGCTGGAGGAGCTGGGTGATGAGTCCGAGGCAGAAGCGGAGGAAAAGAAGGAGGAGAAGAAAGAGGAAGCAAGCGAGGCACGGCAGTGTTCAGTTCGGTAGTGGTTAGGGCCGGTTGGAGAGGTTACGATTTTATAATCCGTAGGAACCGAGTAGTAGGGTGAATTTCGTTTCTTTATCTATGTCTGCAAATCATTACAGTATTCCGTGTTGCAAAACCCAGGAGCAGACGACCCCAGCTGAGACCACTCGTGCTTCGAAAGCTTTGCTCAGCAAGACGCAGACGGTGCCACAGTGGCTGCTCGACAAGTTTCCGATTCCTACTGGTGGTTGGATGCACCATACGCAGTTTCGGGACAGCTCGCTGCCACTCTTTCAAGCAAAGCTACAGAATGGCAAGATTTTCGAAGGGCAGCGACAAAGCTGCAGTTTGAGTGTGCTGCGTTTTCTTGATTCATACCGGTGATCTTCTATGCCGGTTCCGCATCAGCTAAGGAACAGTGTGAGCGCCTCTTACAATCCCGATTTGAATGTCGAGCAGCTGAATGAGAGAATCACCTTGGCGAAAACCATGCCTGCGAGGGAAAGGAGTATGTCGCAAGCCTATTTCTTCGCCTGGAGCTGGCTGAATAGAGCTTTGAATCCAGTGCGTTTGGGAGACAAGAGGAAACGAAAGCGAGCGGAGGCATGAAAGGGAGACTTAGAGATCACATAAGAATAAAAAAAGCTGCTGAGCATGCCTTCGGATGCTTTTTTCGGTTTCCGAACTGGGCGCAGAGACACAGTGTGCGTGTGTCAAAACAAGAGAGGACCGGACATGAAACAGTTGAGACAGCATGCAAACATCTTTGGAGAACGAAGTTCCAGGCGGCATGCAAAGGGTAACCCTTGATGTAAAGGAGGGTTTAGGGCTGGGGTTTCTGGCTTTTAGGGCCTCGAGGGTTTAGGGTTGCCGGGGTTTATGGTTTTGGGTATTTGGGGTTGCTCCCTACACACCCTCACCCTCACTGCCTAAACCCTAACTCCCGAGACGGCCATAGTTGGAGGTTCATGGGTACTTGTAGTTATGTGTGGGGTTACAAGTAAGGTAGCTATACTTATAACCCATACTAGGGACGAATATCCCCACTTATAACTACCCATGAACGGAGCTTTGGGCGAGGGTGGTGAGGGTCGGGGGGAGTTTGCGGGTTGGTTTCACGTTTCGGGTCATTCCCGACATGATCGCGCCTCGAGTCATTCCCGACATGAGGATCGGGTGCTTTGAGAAATGTGAGTTTTGGATCTTGGGGCGTTCGACAGCTGGAGGCGGCAACATCCTCAATAGAAGCCCTTCAGCACATGTAGAGACCCCTATTACAGCCTGTAACCCTGAGCGCTCTAAAATACGAACAGCCTCGCAAGCCTATGCAGCCAGGAAGGCGATCTCGAGGGCATTGAAAGCGAGACGGAGCTCGGGGTTTAGGGTTTCGTGGTTTAGGGTTTACGGGTTTAGGGTTCGTTTCTTTTGAATTGCTTGTTCTTGCTGTTATCTTCTCTGATTTCAAAAATACGCGGGTCGTTTTGGCATTTGCGTTCAGTTGGCTGCGGGCTTATGACTCGTTCATTAGATGGAGCTAAGACATCAGTATCCCAGTGCGAAACTGTAAGCCTGAGGGCCTGATCCCTGGGTAGCGGTAGCATTCCATTGTTTTCTTCTTGGTCATACAAGCCCAACAAACCCTAAACCTGTGTTCCGTGAAGGGAAGCTGAGTTCTTGGCTTCAGAGGTGATCCTTGTGGCCTTTCTTGCTTAAGTAAGGCCAAGCAAGTCCTTTGGAGGTTTGCGAATTTGGAGGTGTTTAGGCTGTTTGAGGGTTAGGGTGCTGATTTCTGAGCTTGAGGGCTTACGTCCCAATGCCTCAAAACTCCAAACAACTCCACACAGAAACTGAACCGGCAGCCCTACAAACCATGCACCCTCCGACAATCCCAGAGGAAGGTGTGGGCAATGTAAAGGAAACTCTTCACCCAAAAGCCCGGTGCGATCATGTCCACCAAGCTCCGACATGAATTTTAATATTGGGGGTCTTCAGAATTAGAATAGGGCTTTGGTATATGTTATAGTCAAATTATGATAAGGCTCAAACATAGGGAAGAGAACTGGTATCTATTCCGGCTTGTACATCAACTGCAGTGAATGTCCCCTTGTGATATGCCGTGTCGTTATGTGGAAGCGGTCTGGCAATCCTCCTCCTTAGCTGCCCTGAATGCCGGAACGCTACAGGGAACTCCAGAAAGTTGGAATATGGTTTCATGGTAGGATACCCTATAATTTACCATAGAAGGGTTATGATAATCATATTCCAACTTTCTGGCTTTAACTGTAAGCACATAACCAGCGAACCCGAACGACAAAGCCGTCAGCCCCCAGAACCCAAAGGCCCGAAGCCCCCTCTGCCGCCTAGTGGTCCCCCGCTGCAGGAGGGCGTCGAGCAACCTGCAACAACTTCCACACCTGTCCGTGCGAGCTGTAGCATGTCCAGTCGTCAATTTGTTGTGAAGATGCAGAATACAGGGGCTTAGATAATCACCAATGCTATTTTGTGGCTTCCTTATGCTAGTTATGTATAATATGTATACCCCAAAACCCTATTCTAAGCAGTAAGGCCACTGTATAAAGGGTCATAGGGCAAACTGGGCGACAATTCGTGTTCAGGCTTTCGGGCATAAGGCTTGGAGAATGTATGTGCAAGGGAACGCTGGATCTCAAGTATGTCGGTTCAGAGCCCTAAACCCCTAACCCCCAAACCCCAAGCCCTGACCCCCTACCCCCTAAATCCTACACCCCTAAACCCCTAACCCCTAAACCCCAAGCCCTAAACCCCTATATAACCCCTACCCCCTAAACCTTACACCCTAAACTCCAAGCCCTACTTGTGGGCTTCCATGCAGAGGTACCCCGCAGGCGAAAAAGCAGCTCGACGAGAAGGCTCGAGACGGTGGGTTGTTCGATGGATTTAAACTAAGGTTTACGGTTTAGGGTTTAGGGCTCAGTTCTCCCACCTGGGGATCCAAAAATCTACTCTGGGGATCCAAAAATCTACTGTTTTGGGGGTTTGGGGGTTCAACCCCCTGACTAGGATGCCCAGTAGTACCCTTATTCCCTTTTTGTAGTCCTAGGTTCCTTATTAAGTTACCCAATACCAAGAAGGGAGCCCTTGTTAATCCTAGGTTACCGAGCATCCTAGTAAAGGCCTCGGTTCTCCTGCCTGGGGATCCACAAATCTACTGTTTTGGGATTAGACACTCTAATGAAGGGGTCATGACCTTCTATTCTGTAGGGTTTGGGGATACAGGTAGGGCCTAGGACTCGGGGCTGTAAGTTTTGTTGGAATTGGGGCGCTTTGGGGTTTAGGGTTTGGTGTCTAGGGGAAGACTGCTGAAGTATAGTTGGAGCATTCGTTCCGGAACACTGCTGCTGATGGACAAAATCCCGCATCGCATCAGTATCATATGGCTTTGTCCGCTATGCAGCTGTATTTCAAGCCCTCTGGAACAAAAGTATAAGGATCGCTCGTTGAGCAATGTATGGGACCCTCCAAAAACCCAGTATGATTATGGATGCTTCCGCAGCTGCTCCGGAGAAGCGGCACCAGGTTAGAACAGCGGCACAAGGTTAGAACTGCACGACCCAATCTTTGAGGAATGCTCTTAGCACCATATTGATGATGAAGCGCCCTCTCTCTCTCTCTCTCTCTCTCTCTCTCTCTCTCTCTCTCTCTCTCTCTCTCTGTAGGGAAGAACCTGTGTAATTAGGGGGCATTGGGGTCCCTGAACAAGGTATGCGACAAACCCTTCAAAATAACCATCAGGCGTGGGGGTTCAGAGTAGGGACGGGAAGGGTTTAGTGCCTAGGCTTATAGAGTTTAGGGGTTGGGCAATGGTGTGAGGTTAAAGGGTTTAGGGGTTAATGAGTTAAGGGCGTAGTTGAGGGTTTACGGTCTTAGAGACCCTGCAGAAGAGTCTGAATTAGATGGGTGCAGTGTGGATTACAGCAAGTTATACTCCAAACTTTAAATTGAACAGCTTTTTCCTAAAGAGCCTATCTGCACTGCTATCCTCCACCCCAGAACTCTAGAAATCTAGAGAAAGTTATTTTTGTTTTTGTCAACCCGAGGCTGAACATCCGAACAATAGGAACCCTAAGGGTCCATGTACCCAACTAGTATATACATTGGCCTTAATGTATAGTCCCTATATAGGTACATTGGGCCCAAAGTATATACTATTTGGGTACATGGAAGGAACCTTAGGGGAAATAGGAATTAGGGGGTTGGGGCTTCGGGAGCCACCTCCAGGACCCTTTCTTGTGGCCTCAAATAGGTGTACATGGCCCCAAACAATGGGCATGTAGGGTCTAACAGAGGGTAGGGTTTAGGGTTCAGGGTTTGGGGGGTAGCCCTGCCAATAGAGGTATATGGCCCCAAACAATGGGCATTTAGGGTCTAATAGAGGGGTAGATGGAGGGTCTAGAGTCTGGGCTGTGGTGCTCAACAAAAATCTGGTCCAGCAGGCACTCAGCAAGATCTCCAGCTGTCGGCACCCCAGACACACCCTTGTCAACGGCTCGCCAGTGGCGCTCTTTCATCGTTATTGCTCAATTATTCCATAGGGCTCCATATTACATGAATATTTTTTTACAGTGTAGCCCCATCAACACCCAAATCACAGGCTTACAGCTCCATGCTGATAAATGCTGAAAGCGCAGTTACAATCTTACTTGCTTAACGTAGGGTAGCACCCTGAACCCTGACTCCTTAACCCTAATCCCTGAATCCTAAACCTTAAACCTTGACTCCTACACCCTAAACCCGCAATCCTAAACCATAAACATCCCGAAACCCTAAACCTCATAATCCTAAACCCTAGCCCTAGACCCTAGATCCAACACACTCTTTAAAAACACCTAGATCCTAAAACCTAAACCATAAACATCCCGGAACCCTAGACCTCATAATCATAAACCACCTTACTTCTTTGAGGCATCGCCCGCTATGAATCCCAAACTTGGGATCGCCTCCACGCGGAGCAAGAGGCGAACCTAAAAAGGGGCCTGAAAAA